ATTTTAGACATTTATATTTGGTTGTCTAATGTTTTGTTTTCAGAATCGTGGGAGAACAGTAATCTCTGTTCTAAAAAACAAACAAACAGTTTATCAGAGTCAATAGAGTCATAAATTAACCTTTAAAGAATATATCATATATATAGCATCTAACTAGTAGAACCGTTTCTAATATTATAATGTACAGTATGACTGTAAAATCTACAATCTTACAAACTAGGATGAAGTCTTTATGTACATTAACAAGGATTTGGGACAATTTTAATGCATTACAAATTTATAATGGAGGATCCTGAAATGTTTTCTTATTTAAAACATCCAGTGTGCGAAGTTCTGCAAACCACACCCCTCTAGCAAACCTCTAGGATTTTGAAGAGTCGTTAAACTTGTTTTATTGTCCCCTAGTACTTTACAGTGCATTGAAATCTTTAAAAAACCTTTTGCACTTGCTCAGAGAAAAAAACTAAACTGAATTAGAAATTTGACTTTTTGTGATGTCTGGTTTACTTATCCGCCACAATAATGTGTTTGGACAATAATGTGTATTTCTCATAAAATGTACATCAATAATACCATAATTTGCCATTTATTTAATTCATCATGATTTCATGAAATTATTTGGATTCTTTTTTCTATTGTTCTACAGCCCTAATTATTTTAGATTATTTTCTAAATATGTTTTTATGAAAAACTATTATGTATGGAACATTAGGACATGAGCATTAAGACATATGTCTGAAAAATAAGAGATGAGCAGTGGTCATGCTGTTCTGCTGCTTCAGTTTCCAGGCGAAATACAAACACAGTGAGCATCTTCAGTCAAGGTGTAGATAATCCACGCAGGACTGCAGGAACCGGAGAACAGGCTCCTTCACAAGCAGACACTTGAGCGGAATTTGATTTACCACATGATTTGTTTGTTTATTCGAGAGTGCATGTGCACTGTGCCTAAGTGAGATGTACCTGCTGGAAAGCTTTGATGGAGAAATAATACTGGAATGTCATTTTCCTGGGCATTCTTAGACACAGCTTGAATTTATATACAGAGCATACCGACCGGAGTCAACAATGAGGTCATATTTTATTAATAATTAAACATGAATCACAACAACAATAATACTTTGCACTTATACCTGTAGGTGTATTTGCAAATAAGTCCTGCATTGAAATATGTGGTCAGTGTTACTTGAAAAATTGTCTCAACTGTCTCAAAAAACCCTTTTCGGACATTTTATAAGGTGGTTGAACACTTTTAAATAGCCTCTGTGGTTTCCATGGAGATAGGGTCTTTGCAGGGGAGTTTTAAAGAATTGCTCTGTGCAATCACAGCATAGCATTCCATCTATGATGTCTAGGAAATCAATAAATATAAAAGCATGATGTTTCCGTGACTGTCTTCTTGCCATGACCGAATAATAGATACATTTTTGACTTGATCAATTATGCTGGGTCTGGCCTTTGCATCTTACTGAATCCCTAAATAAATTACATTTGTTTGCCAATATACCCATAGGTTCTTTACATAATGGAGACCGAAATCTTACTTTTGCTTCTGTTTGTGTGTCTTCATAAACACACAAAGGATTCTTCTCTGCATTCTCATTTTTGCTCAGTGGGAGTACTGATCTTACAAACATGATTAGTAAGACAGCCTGCAGTTACATAATACATAAATAATTATCCCATTAAGGTTCTTAAAGCCACACAACTTAAAAATGTATATATATATTACCCTATATATTACAGTTTTTTACAATCACTTTGCTACTATTTTCAGAACCTTGATGTCATTTTTCAAAACTCTAGACACAAAACTCAAAACGATAATCACTTGTAACACAGGCTGTCTAATGTTCAAAACATTGCATTGTGCATTCACATCTTTAAAGAAATCTTGCACTTGCACAATCATTGGTTCAAAAAACAAATTAACTGTGAAATACCATTGAAACATGACTATAGATCACCCACACACAAGCAACCGATAGTTTCACTGTGTCATTGTTCGTACAATCATTAAATATTGTAGAGCAAAATAGGTGATACAGGTTTCATTATGGTACTACATGTACAGTAAATACATCTCTGTAAAAGTACTGCAGTAGTAGAGAGAATATTACAGACACAGTGGAATCATTGTGAACAAAGTTTGTAATATATTGATGCAAAACACTACAGTACAATCACAACATGGTTTTTTGAATCAAAGCAAAAATAATTAGCTATGAAATAGAAAAGAAAAGACAGTACTGTAAAACATCAAATGCAGTGTTCCTCAACTTGCTGTAAGAAACTAAACAGGAGTGATTACTGTACTTCTACACTGTCATCAACTCTGTGTTGTGGATTTGGCCACAGGTTCTCATCTACATCACAATGGATGTTGGAAAATGACATCTTGGAAAAAACCTTTGGCATGGCGAGTCCAGGCCTGACACTGCTCTGCTGTGATTGGCAGAATTGGACACGCAGTTACAAGGGCCTGCATCTATACAGTACTGTACTGTCAATACTGTACATAGTCTGAAAAGGTGGTACAGTTTTTGGCACCATAGACACAGTGTCTGATGAAGCATTACAGTATGATAAAATATTAGGCTACATCCATGGATATTGTAGTCTAATTGGTTCATGCCATGCTAATTGGTGACAATGAATCTCATTATCTTGAAACTTTCATGATTTACTGTAAACATGGAAGATTGTGTGTCTGTTTCCATACAACTATGCATTAAGAGTAATGCAACAGTTACTTATCATTTTGAGCAGTTGTATCAATTGATAGTTAGATCATTGTAAGGAAATGAATAGACACTCATTTGAAATGTAATGTGTGAATTGCCTTTTGAAATAGTAGTACTTTGATGTTAAGTTGTGTCATATTGAACAGGTGATCTTTGTTGAATGAACAAATGATCTAAGTTTTATGTGTATTGTATCCAAGCAATTGAGAAAAGGGTTAGAGTTTTGAAAAATGTGCTTTTTGATCATTGGTTGTGAGTTTTGTGTCTAGAGTTGTGAAAAATGACATCAAGGTTCTGAAAATAGTAACAAAGTGATTGTAAAAAACTGTAGTAGGCATCTTTAACGGGTTTATTTATTAAAATTAATAAAGGTGATTTGGATATATTGATCTGTATGTGTCTAAACATCAATTGTCATGATAATTGCATTATACTTGTCTCATCTTGTAAGCTTGAACACAGTTTTAACATTTATAACTTTCCTCATTAAAGACAAGATATTCCCATCCTCTGTGGGGCAGTCGTGGCCTAATGGTTAGAGTCAGACTTGTAACTCGAAGATTGCGGGTTCAATTCTCAATACCGGCAGGAAAATGTGGGGGGAGTGAATGAACAGCGATCTCTTCCACCCTCAATACCCACGACTGAGGTTCCCTTGAGCAAGGCACCTAACCCAATCACTCCCTGGGCACCGCAGCAAATGGCTGCTTTCTGCTTCGGCTGTGTGTGTTCAATACTCACTGCTACAAATGTGTGTGTACTAACTTGGATGGATTAAAGAGTGTTTGCATTAGTCCTGTTTGGATTTAATTAATAGCTCTGGTTCTGGATTTAAAAAAAAAATTTTTTTCAGTTTTAACATCTCTGACCTTCCTCATTAAAAGACTCTAAATATTCACATATTCTTTCCCTTCAATGGTTTTTTGATATGTTCGTTCTGATCTCTTTTATGTTTCTCAGTCTGGAAGGAACAGTGCTGGACTCTTAAACTCCAGTCATCTGTTCAACACCAATTTAACATGACTGCCTAAACCAACACTATGTTCTTCTAAATTAGTGCTGAGGAGTATTTCAATAGTCTTGGCTTAATCTCTGTGATCTTAATTGTCAGATCACATGAGATTAACTTGCTTTGGCAACAGCAAAAAAAAAAAAAAAAAAAAAAAAAAAAAAAAAAAGGAAAGGAACAAAAGACCAGTTTAATGACAGATCTAGGAATGTGACCAGTTCAAGAAAAGAGCCCTGCATACCTTGCAGTAATAATTGTGCGTGTCTGTGTGTCTGTGTGTGTGTCTGTGCTTGTTTATATGATTTATTAGGACACAAATATGTATAATGACATAGGTATTACACTGGTATTACAACGTAAACGTGATTTATTGGGACATTTCCTGAGTCCTTGTAATTAAAATGGCTTAAAAACATACTAAACAATTTTTATTAAAAATGTTAAAATGCAGAAAGGTTTCTGTGATGGGTAGGTTTAGGGGTTGGTTTAGTGTAAGGGGAAAGAATATACAGTATAAAAACCATTAAGCCTATATGGAATGTCCTCATAATAATAGGTGCACCAATATGTGTGTGTGTGTGTGTGTGTGTGCGTGTGTGTGTGTGTGTGTGTGTGTGTGTGTGTGTGTGTGTGTGTGTGTGTGTGTGTGTGTGTGTGTGTGTGTGTGTGTGTGTGTGTGTGTGTGTGTGTGTGTGTGTGTGTGTGCGCGCATTTTGGGGTAGGTGAGTTTATTAAGAAGTATCAAGAGAACCTTCTTATCCAGGTGGAAGAATAAATCAAAAAAATTATGACGCTGTGCACACATAACTGATTAGAAAAAAGAAAAAAAAAGAAAGAAAAAAAAACATTAGGCCTATTCGACATACTTTGGTTCGACTCCCAAGAAATGATAAAATGTTCTGAATAACTTGAATGCATGAAATAATTGCAGTGCTGCTTTGATAAAAAATATGGATATATTTGTTTTCAATTCGATTCAACTGACTGGCTTTTATCATACACATTTCCCTAGCAAGTCTTGTCAAATGGAGATAGAATTGTGCAGTTCTTCAGGGTCTACACAAGTCTAAAAAAAAAGGCACACCATAAACAGTGTGACATTAAATAAAAATTAAAAAATATAAAAAAAAGAGTGAGAGGGAGAGAGAGAGAGAGAGTCATTGCGTCAAACAAAAAAGCATCATAAAAGTCAAAGCCACTTGCCTACTTATTCCCTCTTTTTCCTTTGTTCCCTATAACTCCTCAAGGTGAATGCCTTCCTGTCCTTTGTGGTTCCCATGGCACTGATCTCTGCATTAAATGGAGTCATAGCCAGTCAGCTGCTGCGCATGTTTCGGGAGTCTGCCCAGGACAATCGCATCTGTATCAGCGGAGGCAACGCTACTATGCTTAGTGTTGCTGTTGAACCCAACCGTGCCCAATCAATGCGCCATGGAGTCATGGTGCTGCGTGAGTACCTTTATGTTTTTTTTCAAGTGTACAATATTATATTATAAATTAATTTACAATGTATAATTTTACAATGACTACAAAACATCCACACCTGAAGGACAAACAGTCTTCACTAGACAGTCAAGACTGTTTGTCCTGCAGGTGTGGATGTTTTGTAGTCTGTGGAGGTTTCCAATTTAATTGAATGACAGATTCCCAGCAAAATCCCCACCACTAAAACATAGAACATGGCTAGAGCTACAGCTTCATGAGCAACAGCTTCAATTTACCCCTATATGAAAGAGATTCTGTCGAAACCTTTAACAAACACTTGCCATCTGGTTTCATTCTGTTGGAGAATGTTTGTGTGCGTGTGTGTGTGTGTGTGTGTGAGTTGGTTTATGTGATTTATGAGGACACAAATTTGTATAATGACATGTGTATTACACTGGTATTACAACTTATGGGTGGTTTATGAGGACATTTCAAAAGTCCTCATAAATCAAATGGCTTAAAAAACATAAAAAACAATGTTTTATTAAAAAATTAAAAATGCTGCATGTCTCCTGTGATGGGTAGGTTTAGGGATAGGGGCAGTGTAGGGGGATAGAATATATAGTTTTTACGGTATAAAAACCATTACGCCTATGGAGAGTCCTCATAATGCTGTTGCACCAACGTGTGTGTGTGTGTGTGTGTGTGTGTGTGTGTGTGTGTGTGTGTCTTTATTATCATGACAAGTGTTGTGCAGAGTCCCACTGAGTGTATTGATCAATGAACAGAAAGTTAATAAGAGTTTGGTTCTCTCATTTAATTCAATGCAGTCTCTCTATGGTTGAATATGACCAGAAAGAGTGAAAAGCATTGTATTTATATCCTCATAGATAATACAAGGCTGAGTCACAAACAACACCTATTAATGCTCAGAATACACTGCAAGGCTCTGTACACTTGCTTTTATAAACAGCTATTTTCTCTACACACTTATACATTTTTTAATTTTACAGGCAATTGAAAAATTATGATTTGTATCCCATTGTTTGGATTTAGAAAATGTTTTGTGCTGGTCTAACAAGGGTTTGAAAGATGGGAGCTAAAAATATGTACTGCCACAGCTATTCAATTTCACTTAATTTACAAAGTCATTTAAATCACTTAAACAGGAAGAACATGTATTTTTCCATTAGAGATGCAGTTGAGATGTACACCGGGGAAGAATCCAGAGTTAGTTTGTTTTGCCAGTTGACTGCAGCCTCCATTAAAGGGTCAGTGTACCGGTGTAAGACTTTTGACTGCTCTCACAGCAGCTTTCAGCACCATGGGGGAGACAATCATTACTGTTCATATAATTTACTGCATCATAAGAGACTGTTTGATGTTGTTTTCTGCCAGAAGCCCCTTAAGGGTACTAAGTGTAACCTGAATAATTGAATGGACTGAGGGAATTACACGACATGAAATGCAGTATTTCATGACAAAATGCAGTTACACTGCAATGCATTTCAAACACAAAAAGACAAAAGCAAGGGGCTTTATATCGTCAATAAAATGTATAGTCATCACTTCCTTCCCTTGTAGTGTGTTAATGTGCAAATCTTAAAATTATATATAAAAAACTGAACTTGTAGATTATACCGTATTAATGAAATAAAAGGCTTTTAATTGTATTTAAATAGAGTACAGTTTCATGACAGTGTTTCTTAACACACCAAAGTACACTTTTAAAAAGCAAATTAAAAGTTTTACCATAAAGTATATTTGTGTTGTGTTTATAAACACATATACAAGCTACTTGAATGCCCTAATTGAACTCAGGCCTAATCCTAGTGTAGTCTAAGCCATGTCTGTGAAATCGGGCCATTAAGATGAGATGTACTTAAGTCCTATTTAAGTGGGTCAGAAATGTTATGGATATTTAGTTATGTTTGTTCTTAGTTTCACTTTCTTGGACTTTTAGTCAGTATTCATTGTTCCTGTTTTTCTCAGCCCATACTCATCCCAAGGCGTCATCTAACTGACGCTTTTGACCATGCGTCAACATGCCGACGCACATGGTACCTCTTAAGCGTCAATATGAGACGCGCCTCCTAGTGGTCTAACCCTAACCCTACCCCAGACCTAAACCTACCCATAACGGAAGCGTCATCTAACTGACGCTAAAGGGTGCCATGTGCGTCGGATTTAGACGCATGGTCAAAAGCGTCAGTTAGATGACGCCCGAGGATGAGCGTCTCATATTGACGCTTAAAGGGTACCATGTGCGTCGCCATGTTGACGCATGGTCAAAAGTGTCAGTTAGATGACGCCTTGGGATGAGAATGTGTTGGTTTTCCTTTGTTCAATTTCTGGCCCTTTGTATGTCATCATCATGGTTACTAATATGATTTGTCATTTGTTTCAGCTGCCTATATAAGTATATTGTTTCAGTTCTCAAGTGTCCGGTCTACGTTTACATTAGACCCGACCCAGAGCCCAGCCTGTCACCACAACGATCGACAGATTTATTGTCCCATAGTGCCATGTCTATTCAAACCTCAAGTCTCCTTATAATTTTTACGAAGTGAATTTTTAATGCAGCTTCCAATTAATACTGTAAGTGATTGTAATAAACAAATAAATAAATAAATAAAAAAGCAGGCGTTTATGCCATATCCTGCCATTAATGCCTCCTCAAAAAAAAAAAAAAAAAATGAAAGACACCTCTCATTTCTGCACATGTGCGAGTATGTGTAAAAGCTCAGTTATATCAGTAATGAAATACAGTCTGTGGATCCACACATCCTATTATGCCCTTTTACAAAGTCTTGATTTTGTTTTTGGGGTGTACTAGAATATGCTTTCATGCTTGATTGTTCAAAAAAGATTTTATTTTTCACATATTTGACAATATTACAGCTGGTAATAATAATAATATTATCTGGTGTAACGCATCTTTTTCGATGAAGCTTCTCCTTCCGAAATATGAAATGTGCTGTGATTGGTTAGCTGGCCTAGTGTGTTGTGATTGGCAGCGCTTAGCGTGTGTTCAGGAAATGTCCCACCCCTCCATAACAGCAAGCTCTACTCTAGTGTAAATAAAGGATGGCAGCAATTTCAAACCAATTCAAGCCCGATTCAGACCCTGACAATGTTATGTTTAACAAACAAGAGGATCATCCAGAACGGATTTTACGCACAGACTTTGCAGGCACGGATTTCACAGGACGTTTCAGAGGTGTATGTTTATCTTATACATTATAGATACAATGTTATCCACCATTTAATCATGTTGTTGTCCAAATGAGACGTTCGTTGTAGTTCTTGAAAAGTGGATTCTATTAAATAAAATATCTCCCTTTGGAGAGGACTTTGAGCTTTGTAAACTTGCCGATTTTTTTTTTTTTTTGCATTACACACTAAAGTTAAACAAAGTGGAAAAAACATAATAGGACCCCTTTAGGAGTTTGTTTTCCCAACTGAAATGCATGTTCTCTCACACTTGACCTAACTTCAAACAATCATTTCCATATACCATTATAGGTTGTTCACCTTCTATCCTCACCATTTCCGTTTCCTATCATGCACTGATAGATCTAGCAGAGTTTGTCCATAAAACACAATCTGTCACTGTGACAGCATGAGTGTGTGAGGTGATCCATGGTTGATGTAAGAGCCTGCAAATTGCAGACTAAAATACTAATTTAGGCAAATCTGCAGAGGGCACTTTCTTGTGGCCAGCAGGTTCATACAGGGTCAGAGAGTGTTGGCAGCACTTTTATCCAGTCTTCTCAATTTATCTAACGTTGGCTCAACTCGCTTCTACGTCAACTGAATTTGAATTTGTGCGAGTGCTGTTAAAATTCAGAAACAGAATTACTCACTTTCATTCTTGAACTGGATCCAAAGCAGGCACTTAGTGAGACATCTTGAGAAGTCAAGTTCTTCAAAGTTATGGTGACGCTCTAGATTCTATAATGAAAGAGAGAAAGATATTGTTTTGTATGCTGGTTTAGGGCCATACAACCACAGCACATTCTATACAAAACTCCATGTTAGTGTAGTCAACAAAAAAATAAGTGCTCATTAGTGTTGTTATTGTTAACTGAAACAAAATCTAGTAAAAATCTTTTTTTAATTGAAATAAAAATAAAATGAAATAAAATATTAGATAAAAAAAAGTATAAGTGTTGTCTTTGAACCTAACTGAAATAAAGGTCCCACTTTATATTAAGTGGCCCCAATACCTGTGAACTTACATGGTAACTACATGTGTACATATTTAACTACAGTGTAAGTACACATTGGTACTACAGCTGTAATATTTGTTTAACTACACATATGTAACAACCCACGGAATGGTATATGTAAGTACAAATGTCTAACAGGACATTGGTAACAACACTTTTTCACTTCAGAAAGTACACGTGTAACAGGAATTATGTAACTATATTTTGTAACAACAATATGTATTTACACAAGTTGTTCCATTTCCACACGCAGTCTTAAATACTGCAGTTACCAGTTTGGATAAATGTGTTTAATTTCCAACCATGTCAGTATGTTAAAAGCAGATTTCCTTTCACAGTGGCAGAGTTTTTCTATTTTTATTTTAAGCAGTCTAAAGGACCCTGTGCTGTTCTAGTGTTAACCCAGCTGCAGGTACACAGAAGTTCTCTTACGAGAGTATCTCTCGTACTGCGTAATAGCTTACGCTAGGGGAAAACCTCTTTTCCACGAGATATTGAAGCCAAAAATTATCCTTAATTTTTTATTAATGTAAAACGCTTTGCAGCAGCAAGCAGACACAGGCGAGACAGCTCGCGCGCCTATTGGCTGCTCTTGCGGCAAATGCAGCAGCCTATCGAGAGAGACTCTGCGTGACGTAATGACCAATGGGGGCAACTCGCGCCCATATCGTCACGTCCCGCCAGAAAGGGCGTGGTCTCACTCTATAAATATGCTCGTTAGGCTGGTACAAGCTGATTTTCATCTCTTCAGCGAAGCACACGCATCGCTGGATCCGGAGTGAGAAGCCGCGC